GATTTTACCCCTGCTCTAACTAGATCAACTATTCTGGATTTTGGATGCTGTAATTTTAAATATAAATGCACTACAATTTTAGTATAATACTTTGATTTAATTTGTTTTCTTTATTGTTCAATGTTTACTTTTCAGAGTTACGTCAATATGAAGATTGTTTTTAACTCTCCAATTGTAAATTACTCTGTTGTTTCCGAGAGTTAGAATTTTACTGGTTTCGTATTGCCCTATATGTGTTATTTTTTTCACCAATAAGTAGCGGTGGAATAAAATGTTTTTGAGTGATAGACTTACGAAAGTATGATAGTCCAATGAGTTTATGTCTTCGAAATAAGAGATGTCTCTATATGCAATTACAAAACAAGCAAACAGATGTTCGATTTAGGTCTAGATAAAGAAAAAGAATAATGTTCTATAGCCTTATGGAAGTCTACAACATGATTCAGTGCTTGCTTTAAAATTAGTAAATTATTCTATTATTGTTTATGCAATGACTTTTGATGATTTAATAGACGGCCCGATCCAACAATCATTACATTTTTTTGCTACTGCCTTGGCTCATTATATTTCACATACTCAGCATCTACCAGGACTCGGTATATTGTTTCGTAGACATGATCTATTGCTAATCTTCTAGGCTTTGAAATGTTTTTTTCTTTAATCTTCACTTGTTGTGATTATTGATATTTTTCATTAATAAATGCAATTTTCTTTATTTCTTTATAAGACTAAAGAAATTGGCATGTGTAAATGATAAACATAGCTAAAATACAATCATCTCCGAGACAGGGCTTTATGTTTCTCCTATCAAAGCTGCGCGATGTACTATTGATTAACGTTCTTGTGGTAATTCAGCCCTTTAACACCTCATCTGCTTTCAGCTGGCAGTTGTGTTAAAATGAACAGAATTATAAGTTAATGGTTTATAACGAATCTCAGTTTCCAGCTTTTGTCTGCAGTCACAGGCTCTGCGGGTCTTATTATCCTAAGCTCTTTCATTGGCAAAAGAAAAAAAAAATGCATGTTCCCAAAAATAAAAGAATTTCGGAATCAGAAGCCTAATTACAAATAACAAAAAAGTCTCTTAAAGGTTAAGAAATGAAAGCAGAGAAATCAAGAAAAGAAAAAAAGTTTGCAAGCGCCTGTATATTTTTTATTTTATAATGTAGAAATCTCTATTGTATTGCAGTGTGTATTGATCTGCTACGCTATTAACAATCCGAATGCTGTAAATGTGAAGTTTACGTCTAATAATTGCACACCTGTTGGCCCTTAAAACTCAGATTGGGCAATTCTAACTTTCATACACTTAGAACATTCTGGGACTTAATTGCAAAACAGTCAGTTGTCATGAGAAGACATGATTGTAGGACGTATATGATTATTGGAGATAAAGGTCAGCATATCGCAACTCATTATTTAGTGTAAAAAATCCCCTTACTCTTTAATAATTTGCCATGATTATGACATATTTTTTTGTTATAATTCTCATTAGATTTAAATATGGGCTTTGCAGAGGATAACTTACTAGTTTTCATAGAGATAGTATAGCTAATAGCATTCTCTCCATGAATTCTTCTATTGATAGTCAGATGTAGGGAACTTGAGCATAGCATGACTGAGCAACTGCATAAAGCTGGACAAAAATCAGTTTTTACATGCTAGAGGTAACAGTAGAGTTGGAGATTTGTTTTGTTCTGAAATGGAATTCATCTGAATTTGCGGAGATTGGGTGATCAGTCAAATTCCCAAACTGCAGAATTACAAACCGGAACGAGATGCACAAAGGACAAGAATGTTCGTTTTGATTCGTGATTCCGAATTTACTGTTCCCCCAGTTTTATCCCTCTATTGGTTATTTTTTCTCACTTGATCTGTGTAGCGAATGGCTGGAGAACGCTCCTATTAGATTACTACAAAATATAAACACAATATTTATGTAAGGTATATATTTTGCTGTACACTGATTAACTAATTTTTGCACCTTTTTGAATCATCAGTTTTCCCGAATTTTTTTTATTAACAAAATTTGGAGTCGAACCTCCATATAAGAGAAATTCAGCAAACCTGAATTTTATTTCTATTTTCAGACAAAGTGGTTTGATGGAAACAATATTTTTCAGCATGCACTAGTCTAGGTAGCAGTATTTTATGCTAAAAGTATTTTTATAAACAAAAGATAAGGTATCACAGAAAAGGGATCTGGGTGTGTTTGCTTCAGTTAATTCAGTTAATGAAGTGTTCATGCCAAATAATACAATTACATCCTTTGGTCTTTGGCAGAACTCCCAACCTTCTATTGTGAATAGTTCCAAGGAAGTATAAACATATTTTTCCTGATATTGTTTGGCGGCGGGATATTGATCCAGCGGCGGGTCAGATGCTGCACGCTCTGCGTGCTCGTCTATTTGGGCGAAGTCGCGTTGACTTCATAATGGCGTCACTCGAAGTGCCAAACGTATCGGTTTGCACAAGCAGAAACTCCAAAATTCTGTGTTCAGACGAATTTTAGGTGCTCATGTCTTTAGGTGCTCTACAATGATGCAAACCAATGGTATTGATTCTCTGACTCTATAAGCCAGGGCTTTTCAATAGCAAGGTGCTCTGTTGTGGTTCATGCATACCCACTTGAACTTTTTTGGGTTTCTTGTTACTGACTTTGGCTTGTTTATCGTTCTCTGTTTTCTGTGTTCCTAACTTTGGCTTGTCTTACCGTTTATGCTATACTCTCCTATGTTTGACCTTGGCTTTCTTCCTGACTACTCTTTACATTAAATGTCTAAGGCCCAGTAATACGTTATACCTCTCCTTTAGCAGAGTAGGGTCTGTTTGTTTTGGGTTCTTCTACTCTAGCCGTTACAACATACACAGGAAATCAGGACTTTAATAACTGGCAATGAATGTGACAAAAAAGTCTAGTGTTCACATCTCCTAGTCTTTGTTGTTATTGGATCCTCTAGATGCAATGGACTAAGCTTAATTTGACAAACTGGCAGTGTTTTCATATGTCTGTTCTTTTGATGCCTTGGTCATAGCAACCTTCAGCACTAAATATATGTGGAATAAAAAAAAAAAAAACATGTAATAATTCGAATTATTTGCTTTTCACGTCAGTGCTGACCCAAAATATACCCCATTGCCTCCAAGTAAATCCGAGGTGGGGATCATCTACACTTGTGAGTATTACTCTTATCACTCTTTTATACTTTATGTTATCACAATTGAGAGCAGTATTGTTGCCTCGTATCTTCCCTTTGGAGTTTTGGATTAGCAGACAGTGCTGACGGATACATTTTCCCACATCCCAGAAGCGGGGATTATACCGCTGTATGCTCTTCACACCAGAGCTGTCCATAGCTATTTTAAAAGTGAGTTTTCTAACTCTTGTTACTCACTGCACTTTTGGACTCTAGATGTACTGCACTATTGGTTGCTTTCTGCCTCTTCTCTGTTTCATATATATGAACTAACACCCTGAGATGTATCCACTCCAATTGAAGAGAATACGTCTTATCAAGTTTCCCTGATTATTTACTGCTACTCTAATGAGACCTCCTACCCTTTCTAAGACTATTTTATTCATATTGTTGCAGCCCTACTCCATCTTTTTTGTCTCTTAGGTATATGTCTGATACCCGTTTTAGTATATGTAGGATATCACCCTCCCTCGGTCACCCTGTAAGAAATTATTACCTTACAAGGATATTCTTTTAGGGAATTTGTGACAAAAAGGACACAAACACAAGTGTATAATAAAATGTATTGTAAATATTAATTTAAGATACTATTACAGATTTTAAAATATACGCCTTATACATTATAACCACATCCAGTACATAATCAAAAGATACATAATAAAAGGGCAATACATTTAAATGTAGATCTTCCCCTTGCACCTTCATCTTGGTAGTATGGGACAGTCACCTGTGCTTGCTGCACTGTCCTCTCCAAAAGAGACGAAAGAGAGGAGAAGAGAGGAGCCCAACCACATTGGCTGTTGTTCTTTTAAAGACTGATTCTTGGAGTCATCAACTACAAGTCCCAGAATCCCTTTTCCCTCTCAAAAAGTGGTTTATCCAAACCCATTTTTCCAGAGAGTTCTGTCTTTACACAAGTTTTTCCTTTTGATCTTTTCCCTCCAGTTATACTGTAACATTGTGATGTGACCAGTTAGGGTTGGTTTTTTGGGTAGATTGGACAAGATGGCTTCTTTTAGAGACAGGATAGCTTGGGAAAACACATACTTCCATGGTTACACCTAGATGTTCATTACGCGGATCTTCTGAGAACATGCATGGAAAACTATTTGGCAGGAGAACTGCTGGAGGGATGTAAGTTTTTGTTTTAGCTGGGTGTTGAAATAAAAGGCAACTGAAAGCTTTGATCCTTATCACACTGTTATCAAGTAGATGACCCCCGAGTTGTGAAGCCAGTCACATACACAGAAAGTTATATACATACAATATTGCAATTTTGCATATCAATTTCTTACAACCCGGTAGAGCTATCTATAGGGCTGAGATCAAATAAGTTACTATGTATAAGCACGTGCCTCTGCCCAACCCTGGCGTGAAGAGCCACGTATTGCTGGGCCTACCTAGCTCACTGGGGAGGATGTTAACTCTGGGGGTAGGAGTGCTAGCCAATGTGCATATATTAAAGTAGGTATATGCCTGTTGACGGCAGTCTAAGCCAACATCAAACCCTTGTCGCCCTTAAGCATCTATATATACCTTACTGGCATAACCTCATATTCCCACTAATGTGGGAGGCTAAAGGGCCTGTGGAATTAATACATACAGTTGGTGGTATCGGTAAATTACATAACCTGTAATAAATAAGATAACGTTCCACAATATCGAGAGAGTCAATAACTAAACAGCAATAACAGTAAAGAATATTCAAGCGCTATTTGTAGATGTGGAGTAGCTTTAGTAGACCATCAGTCTGTGGGATTTGCGGTAGACCTCGCCGGAGATGCCACCAGTGTCCATTCTGGTCTCAGCTTCTTCGGTGAGTGTCTATGAGGTGACGACTGTCCCATAGCATTCTTTGAGCTTTGCCATTCCTACCTCCGGCTCTAGAATCACTACTGATTTGCCTCTGTGCCAACCCAGCAGCTTCGTCGGGAAGCCCCATCTATAGGGGATATTATAATTGCGTAGCGTTTTCGCCACATTTACAAATTCTCTCCTCCGCGCCATGGTGGTTGCGGAAAGGATGGCAAAGAAATTGATTCCTTAAATTGGTGCCGGTAAGTTCTGCAATTTTCTCGCTGCATTCAAAAGCTCTTCTTTTGATTTGTAATAATGAAATTTTGCAATGGTGTCCTTAGGGGTGTCTGCAGTAAACCTTTGCGACCAGGGGAGATGATGTACTCTATCAAATGTCCACATGGTGTCCTCTAGGTGGGGTACGATGGATTTACACAAGGCCCTCAGGAATTGAGGCAGGGCCTCAGGCGAGGTAGTGTCTGCTATCCCGCGGAAGCGGATGTTTTTATCCTTGATCTGTCCTCCATATTGGCCATTTTTTATTTCAATGCAGCCTGTTCTTCTTCCAGTTTCTGTAATTTGTCTACCACATTGTTGTAAGCTTAACATAATTTTTCTGCTTTCATTTCTCAATGGCTTGTGCGACCCCTCAGGTCTTGAATGTCCCTGCACAAGTCTGTTGCTATTTGATGGAAATCAGCCCTTAGATATGTTTTAAGGTCTTGTAGCATATTGTGGAGGCTTTTGTTAGTTACTGGAATGTCGTCTTGTGGTAGTGATAAAGGTTCTGATTCAGTAGGTCCGTCAGATCCTGGGGATTACAGCGTGTTGTCGCCGCCAACTTGCAATTGCCTCATGCGGTCCTTTTTGCTGTGTCGCATCGGATCCATACGTTTTCATTATTTAGATGGTGCCATCGGGTCCCCTGGTTTGACTACTGTCAAAGAACGGTTATTAGTAGCAGATTGACTTATTTTTGGTTGCTTTGGGCTCGGTGGCTCACGGAGTTCCTACTCCATGCGACTACTTCATACGGCAGTTGGCCACGCCCCCCCCCTACTTTGTGTCTTTAATAGGTCTAATGGCTTAATGGCAGACCTTATCCCTCTATGTGAATATTCTGCAGTGATTTTTTTCCATGTAGTGAGAGCAAGACATTACGTGAAATCCACTAACAATAATGACAACATCACAATTACAATGTCATTAGCAAGATAAACCTGTGGCACTTTTGATTTTTCAATAGAGACAAAGACAGCCTAGGATGGTAATTAGCGCTGGTGCAATCTATAGCAGAATATAAAAGTTCGAGATATATGAATTTTTTTTTCTGATATAAGTATAATCAAAGGTATTATTTAAAGTGTTAAATAAATGTGTTCTGAGTCAGATAATGACATAAAGTTGCCACAGACTTTGTGCAGTTATTCAGTGTCTGTTTTTTAAAAAGAATTACCATCCAGCCTGCAATAAAAAATAAGTGACTGAAATAAAATTAAATATATAACTCATGATTTTTATCATTTGCGAGAATCTTTTATGATCATAGCCATGTATCATTTTTATTTTGCTCCAGTAATAGGCAACTCAACCTTTAACAAATCGAACTACATAAACCAATTAATTCTACATTACTTCATAATTGTCACTGCAGCCAAAAGGTCCTATATCATTTGGTGGTAGAACCCTTCAGTTTTAGTTAATTCCTCAGAAATAACATTTCGAGACTGTGTGAAATTACCTTTAACATTTTTTGCTGGAATGCCCTGGTTAACTGAAGATCTCTCTTTGATGTCTTAAATGTTAATCCCCAGACATCTAAGTCCAAAATGAGGCTGCGAGTGTTCATTTCACAAAAATCAATACTTATCTTTTCTTTCTTATGGTCTCTTTCCGCATAATGAATTGTGTCAGAGAGCAGAGGTGATAGCTGATGAGGGACCGCGCTTTGGTCAAAAAAATCTAGCGAATGTAGAATCTGTCTTTATTTAGACTGAAGGCTCTAGTGCCAAGGATTCTGTCCCAGTCAAATGAGATGAGTGAGATTTGGGATTATGATGCCTGAAAGCAATTTTTAGTTGGCCATTAGAATCCCAGAAAGTATTTGGAAATAAGTGAGAAATCCAGAAAGTGTAACGGTTCTGTAATAACTCCGAACAATCTGATTCACGTGTGGAGAAAATAGGCCTTTCCATAGAGAGATTCCCACTGAAGAAAAATCTAACTTAAAAATGACCTGAGGAAAAAAAAGACAGGAATTGTGTATATATATATATATACTTGGCTTGAAACTAATTTACTTAGAAGATTACTTACCCCTAGACAATTAGTGATGATTTTAAACTAGCTTGATGTTTCCTGTTGTTTCCTGTTGTTTCCTGTTGTATAAAACCAGTGGTGCAAATCCAATGTTTTTTTTTTTTGAAACATAGGAATTCACCAAATGCCACCTCACAGGAAATTATGTCTAGCAAAAGGCATAGGTGTCAACAGTCCCGAATTTGCCGTGACAGTCCTGCATTTTGGGGTACTGTCCCAGCAGATATAGGTCCTGTCATAAAACCACTCAAATTATGCTTAGTCACATCTTCTGAGTAAAACAATATGCCCAATGTATGACCTAGACACTATCTTGTGAAGTTACAGTGCTGTAAAAGAGACGTAACAAATTCAGGTTTTTAAGGGTGAATTTTCATGGAGGGTTTTGATGAGTCCGTGTCCCACTTTGGAGCACTTTAACAGGCTACATATTCCAACTACACCATAAAGACATACCATTTCTAAAAGAAGGCATCCCAGAGTATTCTGAATGGCATATTTTGAACCTAAGCGTGGATAATTTTTCCACTAGCTTGTACCAAGTGTAGTGGTAATAAGCATTTTTTCTGCCTTTTTGACACACAAAGTGAGTTTTCACTGTATATTTTGCCAACCTTATGTGTGCTACGGGTCTATAATACTTCATATGTTGTTCAGCTATGTTGTCTGAGTACAGCAACCGTGTATGTACCTTTGCCAGGTATATGTGGACATTGAAGGGGCACATTTAAGACACATCTATTCCAGTTTTTTTTCAAACGTTTAATTTTTATGCTGTGTCCATGTCCCATTTTGAAGTATTGTAGAAGGCTATATAATCCAATTACTCCATAAAGGCATACCATTTTTTAAAGAATACACCCTGGGGTATTTCCAAAGGCATATTTTGAACCTTAGCGTGGGACCATTTTTATCGCTAGTTTCTTCCAGGTGTAGTGGTTAACACCTAACTAGCAGTATGCAGCATTACCAGTAAATTCCCTAATTTCGCATAACTCCCACCCTTCAGAGCTAGCAAAATATATATTATTTTTAAATAATAAAAGTTAACCCTCAGGGGTTAAAAAAAAAAAAAATCAGATCATAGTATAATACTGTGATCTGTATTTTGATCACTGTAGGCAGTGATCAACTGGCAGGGAAGGGGTTAATGTTTATTAGGACTGGGTAAAGGGGGTGGGATTTTTTTACTTTTTTAAAAATATTATTTAAGCATTTTTTAAAAAATTTTAAAAACTTTTTAAAGCTTTTTAAAAAAGTGTATTTAACATTGACCCCTAGCTAGCCTAACACCAAATTCCCCAATTTGCCACTAATTTCCACCCACCCCAGCTAGCTAAATATCCAATTGTAAAATATTTAAATTGATTAATAAAATAAATTTAACCCCTGAGGGTTAAAATAATAAATAAAAGTAAAAAGTTAAAAGTAATCCCTGCCAATTGATCACTGTAATCAGTGATCAATTGACGGGGAAGGGGTTAATTTTATTAAATCAGGGTAAAGAGGGGTAGGATTTAACTTTAACTTTTTTTTACAGGTAGAAGCAGATCAGCACTGATCCGTCTCCCTGCACTTCTGCACTTCACACTGGACGCGGAAGAGCAAGGAGGCGGATTGTGAGTCCCTGCAGCACATGTGCTCGCTCTGACAGGATGTTAGAGCAATCACAGCTGCAGGGGCAGTGTGATCGGGTGCTCCCGGTCTGCCTTGAATACCGAGGCAGACCAGAGGAGCGTTAAACCTGCGATCACCAGCACCAAGGGGATCTGGGTTCATTTTAACGCATGACGGACCGGGTCCGTCATTCGATGTTAAGTGCTTTCCTAGCATGACGGACCTGGTCCGTCATCCGGCATTAAGGGGTTAAAGTCACCCAAACCTTTTAATCTCAATGAAGTGGCCTGGGTCCAGTGGTCCAATAGTAGTAATTATGTAATATAAAACATTTCAGTTTTTTTTAGAATCTTTAATATTTACATTGCTGGGTTAAATACACCTCTAATGGCTGACATATTGACATCCACTTGAGGCACTTCTTCCTCCAGGCCAATTTTTACTGATAGCAGCATTTGATTAAAGGAGCGTGGCATTTGAATTGGAGCATATCATGAAAGATGTCAGCTTAAATGATGACATCACCAAAGGTGGAGCTGGAGGTTGCAGAAGAGGAGTTCATGACCCACAGCACTGGGAACAAGGTAAATAGTATTCATTTAAATTAAATTTGTAGCCACAAGGGAGGAAGGAATAGAAGGTGGGTGGACAAAACAAACTTATAGTCCCAAAATAATGATTAATTTCATAAAAATAGGTTCCCTTTAAGAGAGTTATTAATGTATTCCTTATAAAATAATGCACATAAAGCCTATAAGTAATCTGTTCCCAGTAGTAATAAAATAAATTATCAACTTTTTAAAAAGTAATAACTCTTTTTTTTAGTTCAGCATAGAAAAGGAAGGAGTAATATATTGATGTTAACACATTTTCAGCAGACCATAATCAGGAGAGAGATAGGAAGTTAGCAGAAAATTGGTTAAAAGAAACAAAATTATGACATTTACATAACAACGCTTGTCAATTTTACAGCTATTTTTAATCTTAAACGATATGGCATGCTAATTTTCACTTGTGCTCATTCAAACACATTGCACTATATTATAAAAAAAAAAACTAATTCTCACTTGGTTCAAGGTTACGTCTAGTGATTGATATGTTAAAAAATAATAGTAATGTCAAACATTTGTAGTGTTACGTTTTTTTTTTCCAGATAATAATTTCATCACTCAGTCATGATGCATTGTTATGCCCTCCACTCTTTAAACCTGTAGACATGCAGTATAATAAATAAATCTGTGACAATGTTATAGAGGTCATTTCCATCTGGGA